ATTTTGTCGCCATGCGTCCGCAAGTTGGGCAAGTTTCATGGCATGCACTTGACGAGTCTTTAGTGCTGCTACTGTTATGGGGAAGACCACATGGGTCTCTCTCACTACCCGCAGACACCCAATCTGTGGATGCGGCAGGCGATGGCTTCTTTGAATGCAAAATGCAATGCACGGTATAGACCACTTACAACGTAATCGCTTATAGTGCAGAACCCCAGTTAGAATGCAGTCTTTTTTTACTACCGTTTATCCTCCCATAGAACCTTGTGCATAGGCATACTGCTTATTGTGCAGTCCCCCAGGATGAAAGACCGGATATAATGCGGTAGCTGGAAAATCTTCGTGAGAAATGTGGTTGCGAATGCGCGTCTGAAAGGAGGGATGCTGGGTGCGCCGTTAGGAAGCGAGCGACGAGGTCGTTACAGGGGAGTGGGGACGCGAGGTTAACTAACAAAGGGTAGAGGAAAGAAAATTAAAAATAAAAAAGAACTCAACCAATTGCACAGGCTCATCGAGTAAGAGAGGAGGGCGGTTGCTTTGGCGACGGATAAGCCTTTGCACCAGCGCCGATGCGGCTACAGTGTACTAGCATAGCTAGCGTGGCTCCGGCTGCACGCGACTCAACATGGCATGTGCGATCCCGTCCTTATATACAAGCTTAACCTTAACAGTTTCCTGTCAAGAAAAAACTTGTCGTTATCAAGCTTCCTACACATATCGCCTTTGCTAGCTCGTCCTTACGGCCTTATGATGCGCTGTCCTATGTAAGCTCGACGGGTTTTCATTGTTGCTCGTGATCTCCCAGCCGTGAACGCGAACATTGTATGATGCACGCTGTTCTTGGTTCAGTGCTTGAGTGTCGTCTGCTCGACACAGCACCTTTATGTCTTGGACAAACTTCTTGCAGCAACATACCAAACGGCGGGCTAGGCCTAATCGACATTGCTTGAGTTTCAGTAGTGGTCGCATGCTATCTAAATTACGGTTTGGTACGGAATAAACGAAACTTTTCACAGTGGCTGCACTTGAAGGCAAGAGATATACAGTCGAGCCCACATATAACGGCCCCACTTAGAACGAACTTTGGCTTAAAGCGAACAATATTCGCATAATCGTGAAAATATGCATTGTTTCAATGACACAAAATCGCACTTATCACAAACGTCTCCGAGCGCTGCCGATCGGTTACAGTGAACGGAGTCGGCACTCTGCCAACTTCTCGGGAAACCACTTTCGACCACGGATGAGGTATGGGCTAGGTGCCCATAGATTCTTATTGTTAAACGCCGACCCCGTCTCCCCGCCCCTCTAGTTGCCACTCTCCCCGACCGCTCTTAGTTACTTACCCTTCCATCCTTTGTCCCCTTGCTACTCTGAATCGCCCGCACCGCCAGACGTGGCCCGTGTTTTTACACTGCTACCCATTTTTCAAAAACTGGGCGGCCATCTCCCGTATTTTTGATCGATGGTACTGCCTTTGACGTCGCCGGCCTGGAGTGACTAGTCCTTTTGACAACATCGTTCGTATCTGATCGTCTGCGTCTTGTCTTATCGCATCGTTCTAGGGCACACGCGTACGCTGCCCCACCTACTCTGATAATTCGCGATTCTTTTCATGTTCAGGAGCTGTTCTCATTCACTTTGCACTCGGCTCAGCACGCCCTCCGCACGCGGGCGAAAGCGTAAAAATGGCCATTAATTTGCGAAGAACGAATTCCGAAATATCGAAGTCGGTCAGGCCACGCAAGCCCATCGACGCAACAACACAATTCTTTGACCACAGCCGCCGATTCTTTGAACACCACCAAGCGCGCCGATCCAGGCGACCGTGCTTAAACCTCTGCGCGCGTCTATGCGCGAGTTGCGCGTTTCGCGGACCTTTCAAGCAAGCTGCCCGACCTGCCTCCTTCCCGCGTGTTTTGGTTTTCAAAGCCGCCTTCCACCATATCCTCCCCTCTTCACTCTATCGCAACTCCTTGCCCTTCTCTCGCGAATCGGCTCTCCTCTATTGACACAACTCTTTCACCCCTCTCCACTGCTCCGCGACGCCAGCCATGCTGACTCAAATTCAGAAGTTGTGTTTTCTGACTAGAAATGGGCCCAGAGCTGTACCCCGCGTTCTAGCATGTGTGTTGCGCGTGCGCTTCTTGCTCGCTCTCAGTGTGCGTGCGTTGTCAAGATGGCGGACAGCTGTGTTAATCCGGAAAAAGCCTTGCACGCTTCCTGCCGCTCAACGAAACGTCGAAAGTGTGACCGCTTGGCATGGGCGCAATCTGCGCGTCAGGTGTCGCGTTGCGGAGCGCTTGCTCATAGCTGTTCACCACCTGGCAGCCAACTTGTCGCTTCGGGCGTCCCGGTATACAGCTGTGGAGATGGTGAATATTTCTTGGGCCGCGGTGACGGCTACAAGCGCGAAACTGTTTTTGCGAGGCCGACATTGTTGACGTCGGGCCCGATGCCGAGCCTGAAGATTCCGAACAGGACCACTCCGGCGGCGATTTGTGGAAGCGCGTCGTTGTCTCCGACCTGGCACAGCGGGTGGGACATCAGTTGCGATGGTTTAATTAGAGCTGATGATGATGCCGACACAGCGGAACCGTGCACGGATTAGGGCATTGTGAATTAAGTAAGGGGCAAGAGCGATTTGGAGGAACTGGATTGCGAGAACGACGTAACTTAGGAGCCAGTGCCTCATGCAGCTTATGCCACGGGCCTCGGTGAAGAGCACGCTGCCGCTTGAAATAAACTCGAAACCGCCCTTATCACTTCTGCTCTTCGAAACGCGTGCATCACGGAATTTTTTAGGAAAAAAATTTTGTGTTTTCACTCGCAAATTTTTTAAAAGCTGTGTTTCATTTACTATGAACTTCGGGATACAGCGAACGGATGCCGCGTCAGGCTCAGGTTCGCTATAAGCGGGCTCGACTGTATATCCTTAATAAAAATCAGGGTGGTACGTGTAGCGCTCGAGTAGTGTTCAGTAGGTTTGTGTGAATATTCAAATGCTTTGAATATTTGAACGAATGATGTTTGAGTTTGCTTTGTGTCGAATTTAACATATTGAAAATTTTGAATTATATGAAACAAACGAATATATACATATTATACCCCGCGACAACTTTCTGTGGCAGCACAGCCAAGGCTACGGAGCCGAAGCACGCTTGTCTTACTGCGCCACAGCATGTAGTCCCTCAACGAAAACGTTTGTATACTGTTCTGGGTAACTAAGATTTTACCATTCGTCACTTACATTTTTCGCGGATTTATTTTTTAATTAGTGAATAAAATCGTTGCGCAGTAGAAAAAATTTCGTTTCACGCTCTCTCAGGTTTTTTGGGGTTTTTTTGGCTTCCGTCGCCTTTTTACCTCACCGCATTCCTCACTGTCAATGATGGCGTCCGCCGGTTACAGCTCGTCAACGTCGCTTACGGAGGAAACACCGCCGCGTGCCGCGAGTCCACCAGCTGCGCAGCCGTACCAGGCGTTGTCAAATCAAAAGCTGTCCGTACAGGCCAAGAAGGTGGCGTACAACGTTTACGCGCAAGTAAGGAAAAGCAGCGAAACGCGAGCAAACGCGAGCAGCGAAACCTGCAGCGAAACGCGAGCAAACGCGAGCCGAAACGCGAGCAATTTTTAATAATTGTGACACGAGCCGAGTTTCGCTGCATTCGCCGCGCTTCGCTGCAGATGACATGCTTCATTTTTGTTGTTTATTCTTCCAGACCCATATACTACCTTGACGAAACCTAGGTCAACGCCGGACACACAAAGGATAAAGTATGCGCTGGTGAAATCGAAACCGAAACACCCGTCGAAGCGGTCGGACTACTTGGCGCAGTAGCACATGTGCATAGGCTCCACCCACGTAGCCTTGGCCGTGCTGCCACAGAAAGTTGTCGCTGGGTATAGTTCGCATGTGTCACCCTGTAAAGATGGTTTCACTGCAGTAGAGCAGTGCTAAACTGTAAAAACATATATCGAGGGGATAACCGCACTGCCCACTTTAAAGTTAAATGAGGATATTACCTTCACATTGATTAATTTCCTAAGTTTAAAAGCTTGGTATACCTATTCATATGCTCTAAGAATAGCAAAATTTAAAAAGTAAGATATTTTACAGACTATCGCTTGCATTCTAGCGAAAGTCGAATTCTGCTACTATTGAAAGTTGTTGCCGTTTTCATTGATGCAAAAAAATTGTATTTGCACAGGCCTTGTCTCAATTCTTTAAAAATATTGTGGAGGTTTGTTTGGTCATGACAAATATGCTCATTTTTCTTTATAATATGTGTTATATATGCTATTCAAATTTGATCCAAAATTTATTTGGCCAAAATCACTATCCGCTTCAAACCTAAAATTCACTAGTTGCACGAGCCTAGTGTTTTGAGATTAGGTTGCGATGTCTTGAAAATCGGGTGCGCACCAGTGGAACCGAATCGAATGATTGACGTCTTTCAGAGTTTGAAATGACAGACGCAATTTGGACATCCTTTCTGTGTAATGTGCATAATCGAGGCAGTCTCGGAAGTAGTCGACGAATTTCTGCAATGGTGCTCCCTTTTGTTACCCCCCCCCCCCCAACCCGTTTATTTCACTGGCAACACGTGTCTCTGGACGTTAAGTTAGTTTTAACATTCAGAAATTTAAACGGTATTAAGCATCACTGGCTTCCATTCTCGGATGCGCGAGGCTGCATGCTCAAGACGTTTTGTGCAAGTGCGGCCTTTGAAAAAAGGCTGTTTTAGTTATACTAGTTCGGATATTCGCGTCTCCGGCGACTTAAGTTATGAGCGGTCTGCCCTGCATTTCGTTTCTGTATATATAAATCAATCAGTCGGAATGGGAGAGGGTTGCATTCGTTTTGGCTGCTTGCAGAGCCCTAGGATGTCCATCACAAAAACTCTGGCTTTGCGTAGCCCAGTTTGAGAACCCATGCTCTAGTGGAACGTTTCCTTGTTCTGAAGCTAAATTAAAAGAGCCAGCTTCACATAGCTTACCTTGTGCCCCAAGCTCTGCTCCCTGTCAGAATCAAGTTCTGCATGCTCCAGGTTGTTCCTATTTTCTGCGAACACAATAGAAGAAGCCAAGAATTTCCTCTAATCTGCTGGATGAAACTTAAACGGGCAGAAATTTGAAGTTACACTCAGAGGTAATTAGGTGCCATGTAAGTCAATGCCACTACTGCGATATACTCTGCTATGTGAAGTGACAGAAGAGAGGTAGCGCTAAACAGTCAGCCTGTTCAAAAAACTTGCGTAAAAGTGACCTCTTGAAGGGACGCTAAAGTCAAACAACAATTTAAGTCAAAGTGAAAGCTCAATGTATGACAACATCTAAAACGACAATACTATCAACGACAGTGCCCAACTTGCCGAGAAATTAAGGTAAATACACAAAAACAGAGGCGCCACAGTAGGGCATTTTCAAAATGATCGCGATGACATCACATGGACCGCCTACAATTAATCACTAGTAATCGATCTAACTGCACTAAATATAAAGAACATTCCGAGCATAAGGAGATGCAATAAAATACTGCTAATTCGTTTCTGTTTGATTTATGGAAAACAGAATCGCCAGACGTTACTATGGGGAATGACGCGAGTGGTTCAAAAATTCAATTTTCGCGTTGTTACAGGGGACAGGTGGTGCCATCTAATGGGGCAGAGTTGAAACAAAAGTGTCTGCAATCTCGAAGCCAATGGCGAGAAAATGATCAATGGCAGTTGTTGCTGCGGTGGCTCCCGCTGCTTTCAGTTTGCTGCTACTAGTGCAGTAAAGCCGGGCAACGTTGTGCATGGCAGCAGTGACGTGAGACGGTCTGGTCAGTCCGCTTCTTGAGGCGGGTAATTTGAAGTGCGCTAACCCGATGTGGAGCACTAAAACGTGATTTTATTTTAAAATAAGCCCTTTCTTGGCACAAAAGTAACACTACGAGGTTTCTGGACCACCATTTCAACAATCAACGTCGACTTAATAGTTGACTTTAGTGTCCCTTTAAAGGACATTTTGAAAAATTGCATAATAGTTTTAAAGAATGCGAAAAAGCTTGCGTAATCTTTTCTCTGTCACAAGATCAGTTAATCACAACGTAATATCTGAATGGGACTGTAATGAATGAAGCTTGGCAACATATAAAACCCACGCTACTTAAGTACAATAGACTCTCAGTAAACGGAACCTGAAGGGACCAGGAAAACGTGTTCCATTTAACCGGAGTTCGGTTTACTGAGAGGTGAACATGGGTGCAGAATAAAAGCAGCAATAGTTCCGTTTACCAGATTTCCATTTATTGAGAGTCTACTGCAATTAATACAGCAAAATTCCAAAAAAGCACCCTTTTCCTTTTTTGGGAGACTTGAAATATGCGCCAACGACCAAAAAGCACCTCGTTTTCTTCCTCTCCAGCTGTTTTTTGTTTTTGTTTTTATCAACCTGCTTTTCCCTACACAATCTTACAGTGGCCCCTGAAAACCCAAGCTCTAAAAGTCTTTAGACATGTGCCCAATTTCTTGGTATTTTTGAGAGTGTGCTGCTTCAGCGTTTCCTTCTGAATTGTAAGAAATGATTGAAACATTTGAAAAACGATTTCTCTCCTTAACATAGCACGTGAAATTTTACCAAAGCATTCCTTCTATTTCAGTAAAAACAGCGAACATGTGCGTATTTGAGAAAGAAGCTCAATAGAAGCACAGGTGCCAATTTTTCTTGGAAGCTCCTCCACTGCCAACTTGAATTTGGATCTGCAACTGAACAAGGGCACCCCCTCAATATCCAGTATGATTTTACGGTATATGCAGCAAAGTATGCATGCAACATTAATTTTTTTCAGAAGTTCTCTAGCAGATGATGTTATTTGTACCCTTTACTATGAAAAAAAAAAAAAAAGCCACGAGCCGTGAGGGAGATGGCCGGAAACATCATAGGGAGCATCGAGTGATGGAGGGTTGCAATACGACAACACTTCTGACGCCATAATCATGCTCACCATCGTCATAGGCATCCCTCGTCGTATGCTCCCTTGCTGTTTGCTTCTCGGCAGCATCGTCAATGTTGATGTCGACAGCCTTAAATAAGGGAGACACAGGTCTGGCCTCTACACCCTCTGTCATGTGGGCCAGCATGGCCTGAGCCTGGACTGCATCTTCTTCTAGTGACTTCATTCTGGAAGAACCAATTATATTTCTTCTGATCTCCTCACGATCTCACTGACAGACAAAATCAGGTTTAAAAATGATTTATTTGTGCCTACATCCTCTATATCTGTGTCACTCTGCAGCAATAAATTGTGAAACAGCTCCAGGTGCAACAACTTGTATATAGTTCAATCAAAGCAATTAGAAAATTTTTCACGTAAACTATAGCAAATGAAGATCAAGTGCAATTAAGAATAAGAAAATACAATGATTGAGAAACAAGATAAGAAGCAATACATTGGGTTGAGAAAAATTGTACTTGCTTTAAAATTTACACAAAAATAAAAGGATAAAAACATAATAATGAGACAGTGATCAATACATTGGGTGTGCACGTGGCAATGATATGGCAAAGGATCGAGCAAGTGATCTTTGGCTCTTTCGAACACGAAATTTTATGTTCTCTACAACGTGCACTGCAATAATATTTGGCTCACATGTTCACAAGGGCCTCAACTACATATATCGGCCGAGTTTTCCAGCTATGTTCAAAAAGCGCTGCAGGATTATTTCAATGTAATGAAATCCTTGATGTAAATAATAATTCAACATTTCATAACATTGGTGCCTATATAGTAGTCTGTACAATAGAATTTTGATTACATGACTCTCAAGAAGGAGCAAAAACATTCATATCACCCAAAATTTCACATCACCAAAAAACTAGCAAAATCAGTTGACAAAACCCCTAGATGTCTTTTTGACACACACGAATGAATTGATTCGGGATGGTGCAGCTGGCTGCCACGAATGAGGGCGTCATAGCTTTGCGTGAGACCAACAAAATACTAAGCGCCACTCCACCGTAGTTATACAAGTAAATGACAGGAACACTGCAACACTTAGTGCCTTTTTTGTGACTTCATTACCTTTAATCTACTGGTGTGTACTGCATATCTTAGAGGTAAGTAACTGCTATTGATGATCGTGCCGCTAGCGACCACTGTTTCGTGGGCAGTGGTTGCAGCAAATGGTCATTCAGTTTTAAACCCATGAGGGACCACATGCCTTCGAAACTGCATCATCGATATCTATGACTGTGCCTACCACCATTTTGACTGCAACGGTTGTGACAATCAGCATGACTATGACTTCGTGCACATTGCATGAGCACTTTTGAAGTTTCCAGAGCACGCTTCCGTTGGCTGTAGTATGACTGTTTCAGCAACCAAGTTTGCATATCCCATTGCGATGGTAAAAAAGTGTTCGAAACAGCAAAATTTTGGCCCTTTGGGCGCAATAAAATGCAGTTGGAAAATTTTCTAAATTCATATCAGGTCAAAATTCATATCAGTTGGGTTTGTATCAGCGAAGCTCAATTGTATTGTGTGAAGTCTCAATTAAAAAACGAGAAAACTCGAGATTCTTTCAGACCACTTTTTGCCTCGACTCGAGAATCCTTTACTTTTTTTTTTTCTGTCACAAATGTTGATTAAGAAATGAGAATATTTTGTGCAGTTTTGTAGCAACTGCACTTGGCAGACAGAACACACAAAAATGAAAGACGCATCTGTCTCATTTCACTACTTCCTGGTGTGCTCCTTCTGCTTTGTCCATGCATTAGTATATGTCCTACTTGATGCAGCTATTGTCATCTTGCTAAAAAAAAGCATTTTCTCAGCATCACACATGGCCATAAGACGTCTTCACTCTCATAGAATGCTACTTATGTCTGTGCAATTAATTAGCTCTCTGCAAAATAGAAGTACAGTGCCCAGAGCACTGGACAATGGTGTCGCAGCATGCCTCAGCCTGGTTTCCCATAGAAAAAGTTTTGGAGGTGTACCTAGCTTGTCGCCATGCCGCCCTCTTTTCAGCCTCAAGTGCCCTCTGCTCAGCGTCAGTGAGGCCCAGGTGATGTGTGCCTTCATTCGTTTCCTCGCCACACTGCTGCAGCTGGCGCTCCTGAAGACGCCGTTCTGCTTTTAGGGTGCGCACAGCTGGGATGGGCACTTGCCGCACAGGCTCCGTCTCTACTGACATCGGGCTGTCAACTTCACTGCAGGTCAAATGCAACGACAAATGCAGACACGCCATGACAAAGATGCAACATTCAGCTCCCCTCACAATACTGACACGCAAATAAGATGCAATAGAACTTTGGAGTTCTGCGAGTTGGCTACCCCTACACATAAGCACACTACAACTAAGAACCCTTCATAAAGACAACAGTTCTCCTTACGTTGCAGCCATGTGTTGTGCAGCAACGGGAGGCATGTTTACATCGTCATCAGCTTCCTCTTCTTCCTCATCAATCTCCTCCTCCTCACAGCTTCCCTCTTGGCGTGACCACCTGCCATCGTGCTTGCCTACAAGGTCGAGAGAAGGAGGAATAAAGAAAGGGAAAAAAACGTCAATGTGGCAGGTTGAAATGTGAATCTTGAGCACATCACGTTGTTGCACTGCAAGGTTTAAATTCAGGGGCATTCATATAAAATAGCCTAAGTGAATGCATATAATATTTTTTTAATAATATAGGAAGTGAAGCAACAAGCTAAAAGAGTGACACAAAATTTTAAAACCGAGATAACTTGTGGAACATATTTGTGTGGACACGTCAATCATATTCAAGATATGAACAACTAATATTGCCTTGAACATATTTAAAATGAATGCTAAATGGCCCGTTAAACGTCTCACATAACGACACTGCCACTAACTTGGTTTTAATGTAACCAACCACCAGCCAATTGCATCAAGAGTTTGTGTAGGCAGTCATGATCCTTACGAGGGTTATCTCTTAGCAGACCGTTTCTAGGGAGCTTTAGAGCCGTGTACGTAAAAGTAACGGTCCTTGCGGTCGCCCGCTATTTCTGCCACTTAATGGGGGACTGCAAGAGGATGATGCACGACACATGCACTGTGGTGACAGACGCTAATGCACAGCTTTGCGTATGTTGTTCAAAAACTCCCAACAGAAAGGGGGGGGTGCTTCCTTCATGGTTTTGCCCGAGAGTACAAAGACTGAAGTCACTGCCCAGGCAGAGCATTTTTGGAAGTCACGTATATTTTACAACATCCCTGGGGAATTATAGAAGCACCTTAGAAGCCTTCATTGAAAGAAATTGTAAAAGCAGTGCTCACATGAATGCGATTGTGTGCTCAAACTGCCAGCTATGTTTACAAAAAAAAAAAAAGCCACTTGAGGTCCCATCTCTGTTGGTGCTTCTTGAAAACGAAAGTGCGACTGGGCTCTATAAGAAACTGAGCGCTCCAAATAATTAAGCATCCCGTGCTTGAGCAAACAAGGTTTCAAACCATGATGAATGAAGTCAATTTCCTCCTCCTCGACTAGCTTCTACACTAGCTAAGGAGAAAAGATTTTTGAGGTTCGGAATGAGTGCCCTCGATGACTCGAGTGCACGGTGGCAGCGCGAAGGAAGAGCCGTAGTCTGGTGAAGAGACGCTTTATTGCAGCCTCATGCATCTGCCCGAGTCCAAGCCCGAACCTCCGCTCTCCTTTTTTCACATTCAAGCATCCTCTTTTCAAACCTCGGTTGAACGAAGGGTTTTGACACAAGCCAATCACACGTGTGAGCTCGCATCGCCACAACCAATTGTGAAAACACCTTCATAACAGGCACTGCATTGGTAAATATCGCGTTATAAAGTACAACACGAGAGGGGATAGGTTCTCCGTGTGTCGCACTCTCTCTCATACGAGGCCGACCTCCGTCGGTAGCCATTCTCACGCTCGAGCCCCGTCAGCTCTCTCATTAAATGTTGCTTCGTAGGAGCCTCTTTAAGAGAGGTGAGTACACCGTTGGGCTCTGTGCGTTTACCAAGTGTGCATGCTACAGTGAGGCGCCCCGCCATCCTAACAACACTCGGTAATGACGTATAGCGGGGGAGGATATGCTCGTCTCCGTGCCGCAACCATGGTCAGCGCAGTGGTCGCGTCCCCGTGGCATTTTTAACACACGTGCATGCAACAATGACTTAAACTCATACGGCGGCGCCTGGCCTGCTCCTTGCTAGACGCTCTTCCGAGTAAGCCTTCCCCTTCTAGTCCCAAACGGGGGCAACCTTGACGGCTCTTCTCGTGAGCCGTGTGAACGAAGGAGTCTCCTTTATTTCCGGTGCGCAGGTATCCCGCGTTCGCCTTCGCAGAATCGATCAGCTTCGTTAGATGAAGGGCTGGGAACTGGCTCTGCGATCTGCATCAGCTCCATTAATTGTGCTACACACAACATGCTGCTAAAGGTTACCTCATACTAATGGGTTGTTAATTACTTATTGCAAAAGAAAACAACAATACGTAGAATTTTTGTGTCGGCGCTTCTATGAAACTCATTCACACAAGAGACTCGCAGCAGTTGTGCGACCAAGTTGGTCCCGAAATGTCACAAATTGTCACGCTGGTCAAAAAGCAACCATTTTGCTCTTAGTTGATGACTGCTGCTTGCTGGTCGAAAAAACAAATGCGGAATGATACATCATTATCATCATCATCAGCCTGACTACGTCCACTGCAGGGCAAAGGCCTCTCCCATGTTCCGCCAGTCAACCCGGTCCTGTGCTTGCTGCTGCCAATTTATACCCGCAAACTTCTTGATCTCATCTGCGTACCTAACCTTCTGTCTCCCCCTAACCCGCTTCCCTTCTCTGGGAATCCAGTTTGTTACCTTTAATGACCAGTGGTTATCCTGTATACGCGCTACATGCCCGGCCCATGTCCATTTCCTCTTCTTTATTTCAACTATGATATCCTTAACCCCCGCTGACATTGCATTGCTGAGTAACTCAGAGGACGAATTGCAGCTCATGATTACGGAGTCAGACAAGGAGAGCAGAAAGGTGGGTCTTAAAATTAATCTGCAGAAAACGAAAGTAATGTACAACAACCTCGGAAAAGAGCAGCGCTTCGAGATAGGTAATAGCGCACTTCAAGTTGTAAAAGACTATGTCTACTTAGGGCAGGTAATAACCGCAGAGCCGAACCACGAGATTGAAGTAACTAGAAGAATAAGAATGGGGTGGAGCACATTCGGCAAGCACTCTTAAAATATGACAGCTAGATTGCCCTTATCCCTAGAGAGGAAGGTATATAACAGCTGTATCTTGCCGGTACTTAGCTACGGAGCAGAAACCTGGACACTTACAAAGAGGGTTCAGCTTAAATTGAGGACGACGCAGCGAGCAATGGAAAGAAAAATGGTAGGTGTAACCTTAAGAGACAAGAAGAGAGCAGAGTGGATTAGGGGAATGATGCATAGACATACATATGTACACTCACAAACACACATGCAGGGGATGTTCAACCTCCCCCCAAAAAATTTCTGGCTACACCACTAGATATAATAGCTGTATTTTCATTGCGACAACTCAAAGAGAGCTTGGCTCTCTATTTCTTTTTTTTTAGTCAGTTTACTCCACTATACGTTCAATTTTGATTAGTTTGCAGGCTGCCATGCCCCCATCTAGGCTAGAAAAACAGGGAGGGCTACAAGATTGAGGATGTGTCAAAGGAGCAGTGAACAAAGAAACCAAGGACTCACTCTCCTGCTCCTCTCGCAGTTTCTGCAGTTCGTTTTCAGACAAGAAGCTGAAGCGCTTTGTTTCCGTTGCCTGGGTACCGTGAAGCGAGCCCTGTTGCTGCTGCGTGCTTTCAAAGTGGTGCTTTTTCTCAATGAACGTCAGCGACTCAGGCTCCGTCACCATGCCCTGGAGCTGTGGGGCCAGAAGGCAGAAACAAAAAGCCAAGGCCAGCACAAGCACGTGTCAGCGAGAAGTCTGGCACCAATAAAATCAGGATGCGAGGAAAGCTCGCGGTACCACTAAATATCATAAAGTTTTCCTCCACAATTACACAGGTTTTGTCAAGGTTCCACTTTCACAGTTTTTTATTCAAGAGTGCTTGTCATTGATCCTTGTCATTAGTCGGTCGCCATCATTAAAGGAGCCAAAACACAGCCATCCAACTAGTACCAGCTTATCATTGCAAATGAGAGAAAAGAACCACATCGGACATACCATATTTACTAGAGCGTAACGCGGCCCCGATTGTAACGTAACGGGCGACTTTTCATCGAGTCCATGATGAAAAAAATAAAAAAAAATAAAACAATAGTGTATGTCATTTCACTTTCTAGAAGACTTGAATTTTGGTATTTATTGTAACGCGAGGGTTGACTGTAGGTAGTAAAAATCAGGATAGAAACTTTTGTTACATTCGAGTAACCATAGTATTTCTCCCAGTCTGAAGGACAACAGAATAAAAAGGGTGCTGTTGTGTTGGTGCCTACTTTTAAACTGAGCCCAAAATTCGACCACTCGCACAATAAAACAAGAGCGGTAAGCTGCTGAGATAAGCGCGCACAAAAATAACAGAATACTGCATAGCAGCCATTAGGTTTTAGAGTTTTTGCAATCCCTTTGAGACGGGCTTCTCTTAGCTAAGAGATCGGTTTGTGCAAGTTTCGGTTCTGCTATTAGTGGCCACATGACTATGCAGTTGAACTAACATTTGAAAATTCAAATATGAATTTCATACCACAATGATTACACGAAAAGTTTTCCAGCCTGTTGTGCGATGCATACTGATCAATTCATAGCGCATAAGTCAACAACAAAACTTCACCATCAAGGCCCTTTGATAACCAGTTCCTCAACAAAGGTTTGGCTAGATTTTTATTTTACAGATTAGTCAAGTATCAAAGCTGATAAGGTGAACATAGGCTAACTAAAGTTCTGCAGCTTTATATGACAAAACCACATTATCATTATGATTCATGCTATAGCAGGAAACTATGGATTAACCGTGACGACCTAGGATTCCATAATGTCAGCCTAAATCTAAGTATACACAAGTACTGTTGCATTTCGAACTCTTCACTCCACACTCTCGAAATGTCGCCACTGTAACTTGTGATTATGGGCAGCGATTCTCACTTTTAATTAGCCAGAGCTTTAGATGTAAAGAAACTAAATTGAGAGCCTGAAAAATCACAGTGCGACAGAACTGCCTCTGTGAACAACAAACATAACACCTTTATTCTATAGCGCATGCTGCCAAACTAAGCGTCCGACTCTTTTGAGGCAACATCTAAGATAAGTGAAAAAAGCAGAGTGCCACAGCGAGGCACCATGAAATTACCCGAAAGGAAGATCTGCATTGCACTGAGAAAAAAGAGTGAACACAGGCACATTCACAGAAGAACAAGAACTAAAGGTTAAGAGATGAGAAAAAAAAAAGGGGGAGGTTGGTCGCACTGAAAATAGTGAGAGAAAGAGTTGAGGAAGTGTGTCTGCCTACCTTTTTTGGCTTGGGAGGGGGAACAGGCTTAGGACCCAGGCTAAGTTTGGAAGGTTTGCTGGGCCGAGAGGGCTCCGTTGGGAGAGAAGTGATGCTAGGAGGAGGAAGCGTCCCACCATTTTCCACGGGGCTGCCGACACCACCACCACCAGCGTGATCGTCCCGAGGTAGGGAAGGGGGGAGGAAGACATCATCACCAGAGTGAGGAGGGGGGGAAACACGGTGCCGGAGGGTTGATGGGGCAGAGGAGGTTGATGTGGATGGGGGAGGAGGTGATACCTGGGGCCGGTCACTTCTGACGAGCTGTCCTCGCAATCGCCACCGCAGCAAGAGATAAGAAAGAAAAAGAGGGGACAAACGTGGGGTAACCAAGGAGGAAGGCAACGGGAAGAGTGTAAAACAGGGTTAGAAAAAGAACAAAAAATTAAAAAAGGATGCTTGGTGTGTGTGTGTGTGTGTGCAGTCCCCTTTCAATAAGTACCCCACCCCAAAACAAAAAAACAGTAGATAGAGAGGGACAGAGGGAACATGAGTGCCACAATGTGCAGGCAGTAGAAGAACATAAAAGATTAGATTACATAAATTGAAGAAAGCCAGCAAGCAAAGAAAATGCACAGCAGGGTGAAAGAAAAACATTATGCATGCAACATGAGCATGCTCCAAAAGCACAAACAGCAGTGTTCAAAATATGAAATATGTGATGCATAAAGTGTTCCAAGGCTAGTTGCACTTGCAACAGTACCTACCGATTCCCTTGGCCTAAAATACTGTTCTCACTTGTAAGAGTGAAGTATAGCAGCATTTTTTAAAGTATGCTTGGAAAGATAAAGAGACCACACAGAAGCAAACTTTGCGGGAGAGCACGCGCACCCTTTTTCTTTTCCTTAACAGTGGCACGACCACAGTCAAGCAACGTGGACAAGACAGTCCCTCGGTTAAAGACATTGCATGCTCTTTTCTGTGAATACTTTCAACTACGCAGCTAGCATGCGCTATTCCCCGCTTTCTCTGATCGTGGGAAAAGGTACTTTTTTCCCTCGAGGGAAACGACAGGTGAAGAAAACAGATGAGCAGACAGAGAAACAGCCTCTCTTGTACCAGCGGCCACCGACTTTTGATTAACTCTTTCCTTACCGCGCCTATTCAATTTCGGTCAATCTGATCGATGGGTTCAAGTTGAAATTCCCGCGCCCCAACGCGCCGTATGGACATGAGGCGCCATCTGAAATGAAGCTCAGGAAGCACACAACCCGTGTCAGTTTCGGTTTTGGTTTCCGGAGACCCGCTGATTTTTGACCTTGCTTGGAAGATAAGCGAGCGTCCGGCGATAGCGGCAGCCATGGCGTCGTCGTCGCGCGCCGGGTCTGAAAGGAGTCGTCGTATTTCTCGTGATTCTAGTGTTGTTACAGTAGATTTTTCGGATGAAAGTGGTAGCAGTGGCCCTGAAGAAGATTCCCTATTATCGGAGTTTAGCACCGACAGCGATGAGGCCCTCAACACACCGGAAACGTCTTCGTCAGCTCGACGGCGAGTTTTTTTTACGGGATTTATCGCGTTGTTGAGCGCCTGCGAGGGGACCGAGCCTGTTGTCACAGTTATTATCTCTATCCGCAGGGTCTCTACGTCCTATGGGCGCGATTCAATGCCTCCCGCTGCACAGCGCGTGCAGTTTTGTCCAAGACGGAAACCGGGAGTCGATCTGGGCATGGCGCGACGGAGCAGCACTAGTCGGTTTCTTCGAGCCCTGGATTTCTTCTTGCTGTTTTTCACAACGGAACTCGTCACAGCCATGTGCGAGAACACAAATAAGTACGCCTGGGCGCACATTCTCAAGAAACCAATGTACTCGGAACGCGACGGTTCGTGGAAAAATGTTTCCCCAGATGAAATGATGAAGTTCATCGGACTCCTCATCTACATGGGGATAGTGCAACTGCCTCGCCTGCACCTCTATTGGAGCACATCAGAGTTGTTTTCTGGGCTAATCCCACGTGGGGTTATGCCAAGAAAACGTTTTTTCTTCTTCCTCGGTATGCTGAGCGTGACGGAAACGTGTGGCGTTTACTTGTGCTTCATCGCGACCAGAGACTGCTTTGGTGAGTGGCACCGCCACCACAAGGGATAACATTTTTGTGTGGTTTCACAGTTGTTTACGTGTACTCTTGTAACCTCTGTGGTCTTTAGGAGTAACTACTACCTAACCAATGTATATTCAGAATTTGTATTGCCATCATTCGCTTGTTACACCCACTTTTTTTGAAAAAAAACTTGTGTCCTTGAGAATTTTTTTGTTTGTTATTTTTTTTATTCTTACTGTGTAATAAAAACTTGTTCGAAATTTATTGAAATAAATAGACCATTCATTCCTCTACATTTTCATGGGCTGCAGAACATCTAAAATATTTTTTATCTGCGGATAAAATTTTTTTCTTGCACCCTCAGAAAATTGTCCCGTAATCACAAGTGCTAACTTTTTTTTTTGCTGTGCTAACAATTTTTTATGTGTACTGTTGAAACTTTTAGGATAGTTAGCTATGTAAATATGCCACAAAACGCATATCTTGAATTTTTTTACTGAGATATTTGTGCCCACCATGCTTACTTTTCCACATTTTTTTTGCAGTAGTTGCGAGAAATTTGTTGTTTGGGATTTTTTTTCTGCTATTGTGTTGCAAACACATGTTTTGTATTTATATCATTAAAAAGCGCATTTATTTGTCTATATTTTGGTGTATTACAATCAACAAAAAAACATTGTTATATAACGATAAACTTTTCTTTGCTGCACCACATGAAAACGGGTCTTTTCCTGGCGGTAAGGAAAGAGTTAATATGTGGGGTTTAAAGTCCCAAAACCACCATATAATTATGAGAGACACCATAATGGAGGGCTCCGGAAATTTCGACCGCCCGTGGTTCTTTAACGTGCACCTAAATCTGAGCACACGGGCCTACAACATTTCCACCTCCAGTGGAAATGCAGCCACCGCAGCCGGGATTCGATCCCGCAACCTGCAGGTCAGCAGCCAAGTACCTTAGCCACTAAACCACCACGGCGGGGCCGGCCACAGACTCTTCACCTCAAGGACCCCGCGAGCCAGCCATCAACAAAAGGAGTAGGCCCTACCCTTCGTTTTCCACATAGAGCAGACTATCCTTCTACATGACATTTACGTCTTATTGCTAACGTAGCAATAAAGCATCGTTGTTGTCCTAGCCTGTTGCCTTACTCACTTGAACCCATCATAGCTGCGATGACTCGAGCTACGGGAAGGGGACGTGGATCGTGCACAGTGCGACTGAGTGCGGCTGGAACTGGAGCTAACTTTCAGCACCAGCTGTGCATAGAGTGGGCCTCTTCAACTTTGCAACATTTAATCTGTGTTATGGTGAACGACAGAGTGAGAAAAGAATGCCCCTGATCCTTGTACATAACTAAAATAACTTCAAAAGATAAGATATGCCATTGAAAACCACTCAGTTTAGATGCAATAACAAATGATGCATAATTTTCAATGAGCATTTTTGTTGATCAACCTCCCATAAGGTCTGGCAGCAGTCCCTTTTCTCAAGCATCTATTCCTTACTTAAAAAAAAAAAAAAAAACGCTCAATACAGCCTGCTGCAAAAGTGCTCTTGTTGCAGACCTCTGACAAAGCCAAACTGGGTTTGCATGAAAAAAGTGTTGCAAGTACATTTATTTGCCACAGAACCCTGATACCACAAGGCATAGTGTTTCACAATAAATGAAATCGTGCGTGCAATTAAGATCCATTTGTCTTTCATATATACTGCAACATCTTGAGGGCATAACAAAACAAGAGTACGCAAGCTTCCTGCTCACCACGCACAAACAACACGGGGTGCCACGCTAGCTCAGACGGAGCCCGTAGAAGCATGCATTGCAAGAAATTCCTCCTCAAAAAGTTCTCGGAATGAGTTAGGCACAATACAGAATCCTCAAGAATGCACGACAACAACAACACAAACACCGAAACGGGCGAGAGCAGGTCACAGGATGGAAACAGCACCACAACGGTGGCAGTCGCAACAGAAAGGTTTCTCTGCATGAAACAAGGGTTAGCCGTAAAGGCTGCGCCCCAGCGCCACGTACATGAGCGAAATTCCATCCCGGTCGTCGTTGCCATTCTAAACGTACTGTGCACGGAGATAATCAAGACAATGTGTCTTCTTGATCATTCGGACGCACACCTTCTCATTTCAGAGCTATTCCCACACCGTTTGTAAAGCTGTAGAGCTTCACCATGTTGAAGCATGCCACCATAGAAAGGTTAAACAAAACAAGGGAGCCAAACACGAAAGCTGCATTGTCCAAAGCTAAAGGTCACACCAAAGGGTCTGAAAATCGGCACTTCCAAAACGAGAGCCTCCTCTGTAAGCTGTGTAAAGACAAATCCAGAATAGGCAGTTCATGAATAAACGGCACAATTGCTCAGGTACACGATTTTTTAAAACGTTACGTCGAGAAACTACCCACAGATATACTTGGGTCCAAAAATTCTGGAACATACAACTAAGGATGAAGCAACAAGATATTACATATGTACTATATTATACACCATTTACAGTTAGTAAAACACTGGGAACAACATATCGCAGTTCAACACAGAATACTGCGCTTGGTATTATAGCTTAGCAGACGTCTTCAGAGACTAACGCCACTCTGAATGTACAACTCTCTTCTTATATGCAACAGTACTGATTTGAGTAGCGAAACATTTTCGTTGCTGTTTTCACCTGCCGGCTACACATAAAGCTGCCCTCAGCTAAAGTGTACAGGGACTGTCATTGCATATATGAGTGCCATGATTATTAGCCCTAAGGAATAACAAAGGAGCAACTGTGCATTAAAGGGGCGCTTGAGATCACACATCAAATGCCAGTTCTCTGATCAAATATGTGTGAAATGCAGCAGCACTATTCTTGGGCTATTACTGAGTGAAATCCTTTTCATTTACGAGAGAAGGCTCGCTTCTACCAACCACGACAGAATATGCACTAATGAACAAAAACCCATTTAGAACATTAAAAAAAAAAACTGAAAATATAACAAGAGCTCATAGTACAACTGTTGTTTTAACTGTACTCTGTTTAAAGAGGACAAATATGAGTATCTTCAATCACTAACTTTGTCCATATCAAACATACCATCCTAAATAGAGACAGCTTGCATGGAATGCAATATCCGTTTGTTATGCAGAGGAGAAACTTGCAAAAACTAGCACATTTAAAACAATAACTCTGAGTGCCACCCAGTTTATAGCACTCTATTGGTGGGAAAA